CCCTTGGCTGCAGCAGATCATCGAGAAGGCGGAGTGCCAGGCGGAGGATGAAGTGAAGGCGGTGCTTGAGGCGCAGCTGGTGACGGGCAAACTCCGAGTAGAAGATCAGTGGCGCAACCTCGACGACCAGTGGCGCAAGGCCTACGAGCAGCCCCTCATCAAGGCGGTGAAGGTCTATTTCGACCACGATGCCATCCAAGGAGTCAACAAGGACACGATAGTGGACCCTCGGAAGATCCTTAGCTCCAGATTCGTGCTCACCAACAAGGGCGGCGAGAAGCTGGAGGAGGCGGAGTTAAAGGCGAGATGGATCCTGGGTGGCCACAGGGACGCCGAGGCCGGAAAGTATCCCACATTGGCACCTACGGCCAGCATCCTGGCGCACAACATCCTGAACACCGTGGCCGTGCAGATGGGGTGGGTGGTGCAGTATGAGGACGTGGCGGCAGCCTTTCTTCAGGGGCAACGGTTGCCCGCAAGTCGGGAGGTCTATGTCCGCATGCCCACGGGGTACCCCACAGTGGTCAACGACTTCCTCTTGGAGCAGCTCGGATCGACGAGTCGCACAGATATATTGAGGTTGATGAAGGGTGGTTTTGGTCTATGTGAATCACCTCGGTTATGGTACCTCGAGTATAAGGCCACCTTGAAGGAGATCAACCTCAACGAGCTGAAACTCATCCCGGGCATGTTCGTGGCCTTCCACCCAGATGGACGATTGCGAGCAGTGGTCACCATCCACGTTGACGACACCCGCTATGCTGGAGATGAGACCTCGCAGGAGATCTGGGATGCCTTGCATCAGCGCCTGAAGTTTGGACAACATCGAAAGGCGACTGACGGTTGGCAGAAATTCTGTGGACGATATGAACGGCAAGATCCCACGACCCTCGAGTTCTACTACACCATGGAGGAGTATGTCACGAAGATCCCGGAGATCACGAAGGAGGAGTGGGCAGCTGAGAAGGGGCCGCTAACAGAGAAGGAGCGGCTGAAGATCGGCTCCATTTTGGGCCAAGTCAACTGGGCCGCTCGCCAAGGTCGGTATGACCTGTCCTATGGAGTGTCGCATTGCCAGCAGTTGGCCGGTGCGGGTCTGCGGGAAGCGATGGAGTGGACCGCGAAGCTGGTCAACCGGGCGCGAAAGGAAGTGGAGGTGAAGGTGAGCAAGCTGGACTGCGACCTCAAGGACGTGATCATTGTCTCCGCCAATGATGCTGCTTACGCGGCGCAACCACGAGGTCACTCCCAGGGAGGGGTACTATGCATGATGGCCAACCCGAAGGTATGGAATTTTCCTTGCAATCAGGGTTCCATTAGCATCTGGGGTTCCATCAGATTTCCTTCAAATTATTGCAATCAGCTGTGACAGTGACAATGATGTGAGTTCACTGCCTGCCAGTGTGGGAGTTCACTGCCATAATATATTACCCTGAGATAATGGCAGCGACAACGACAACGATGTGGGAGTTCACTGCGCTGGCTTGCACAGCGGCCATACTGTCTAGAGAGTCTAGAGGCTCAAGCCGGCGTAGGCTTTATGTTGCCCAAAACAATACTTAATACACCCCCGTGCGTCCATGCCAAATGTGCCGTCCACATCACATGTTTGATGTCAATATTTTGTATGTATGCCGTGCGTACAAAATACGTCAATGTGTGTGTCTGTCTATCAGGCTTTTACCTTTAACAAACTGTTTGCGCTTGCTTTCCGGTGTCGGAACCACGGGCCCTAGTTTTTGGCAGGCCTGCTACTACAGCTACCCTTTTTTTGTAACACACGCAATGATTAATGGCCCCCGGACCCTTTTCCTCTATCTTACGCGGAAATGATCTTAAGCACAGACCTGTCGATTTGACCTGTTGTACAAAAAGAGGCCGCTGTTGGTTGGCCATCATGCCATGAAAACGTTTTTGCGCGTTTGTTTTCGCCGTTTATGTCCTTGGTTCCTTCACCAAATCTTCAACATAATGAAACAAACCAGGCTGGCGTCACATGGCATGGCCATTAAACTAGGTAGAAACTCAGCAACTGCACCCAACGCACTCAACGAAGAGGTTTTTGGGCCGCTGGCAGAAGTCGGCAGGGTTCAAGTTTCAAGGTGAACCGGTGCACTAGCTCACATCCTCGATTTCATCGTCACGAGCTGGGGCTTCTTCTTCGCCGCCCTCATTCTCATCATTCCCATCTTCACAGAGGTGCTCGCAACTCACACCAGGCTCTACAGCGGGAATCGCAGGTTCCGCAACCTCTACGATCTCATTTGGATCAGCCGTCGGGTCAGGGAGTTCGGGTGCACTTGATGAACCTGGCACTGGGTGTGTGAGAAATTCAGCTATGACAATGGGACGCGTACATAAAAATAGAAGAATTAACTGTTCACTTTGCCTTGGGAGCCGGTATTGTAGAATGGCAACTCTGCAGCCAGGCTCGCCTGAAGATAATTGCAATGAACATCACATGAACCGTTAACAATAATTGCTGGGGGTCTGGCAACCACTTGCTGAACACGTTCAAGTGAATCGCCGGCGAGCAAATGAGAACGGCCAATTTCCTGCAAACTGAAAACCGTCATATATATTCAACACCGGTTTTCAGAATGTGAGGCCCCCGCCGCGATTTCTTGTGACTTCGCTGCCTCCTTATACTTGCCCCCCACCTCAAAATGTTCAAAGTCGAACATAGGATGGGCAAAGGTTGCACCGGGGCGCAAACAGTAAAGGCTTCAGAACCGTTCACTTTCACTCCATAGATGTTGGTCCGTTTGTAAAAATAGATTTTGCCGACGGTCCTCTCACCTGGCAGCAAAAGGTTGGGGCGTGGTTTCTTCAAACACGTCAAAGGACTGATGTATGAGTTGAAACCTGGGCAGCTGAATTGTCCTTGGATTTTTGTTTGCGTTAAAGCTGTTCTGTCCAAAACTAACACAGACCGCGTTTTACAGGCCTTGGTCAGCAGCAGCGCACCTCTTTTTGCCTTGCGCCTTTGCTTTCCCCTTGGGCTTCGGATCACCCTCTTCCGCCCCACCTTCAGCGCCCAAGACACCTTCCGCCTTTGATTTCGCTTTCGGTTTCGGTTTCGCCCCCCCCCCTTCGCTTTTGCTTTGGCTTTGCTTTTTCCTTTCGGTTTCGCGGCAGCTTTCCCTTTCCCTTTTGGTTTCGCCTTACCCTTTGCTTTCGGTTCTTCCCCGGTTGGCATTTCTTCTGCCTGAGGTGTTTCGTCTGCGGTCTCAGAAACACCCTCCGGAGCAGAAGGGCCAGGCGTTGGCTTGGGTGCTGGCTTGGGCTTGGGGTTCCTCAAAGCTGATGGTCTCTTCATTGGTTGTGGTTCTCGCGGAGCGTCCTTGCGGAGAGCCGAACAAAGGTATATAATGCGTTTGAAAAAACTGGCACATTGATATCAGCGTGACATGGAATGTCACAGATATAGGTGTCGAAAAAGGAACAGACTCGTGAAACTGATTTGGATGGTTACACCCGGTTGTTTTCTCAGCGAAAAGTGGACTTACCGTCCTTCCGTCCCTCCTCAGCCGCTGGTTCCTCATCACTCAACTTGTCCACCGGCGGCAAAAGTCCCATCCTTTGCTACCCTGTATTACCCTACCCTGCTGCAACACAGCTATCTACTAATCGAGCCGTTAACCTAAATAGAACGGTGGGAATAATTACAAGTTCCGTTGCACACTGAGCTGGCGCATTCTGTTGTCAAACAGCAAAAACTTAACTGTGCGTTTTCCAACAATGCCCTCACGCTACGAACTGCCAGCTGGACAAGACAATTGAAACGTTGTCATGCCCACCTGTTGCGCATCTAAACGCAGCGTCGCCAGAAAACAGAACACATTGCGTTCAGTTTCAAAAAAATGTCTTCAAGCGCAGAGCTTAACAACTGCTTTGGAAAGAGAATGCCTATCAATGGCGCCGCTCACAAAAAGCATTCTGCGATGCGAGATCAAGCAGCCTGTCTACATCTTGGGTCACGTTATTTTGACCCACGTTGCTGGAGAAATTCGGAGTTTACATGTCACACAGAACTTGGGCTTGGTGGCAACAATCTTGGCATTTCCCGTTCCGGTTTGCACATCAACCTAAGCTTTGGTGATTGAAACCGTCACAAAAAATACTGCAACCCTGTCCAAAATGGAACAACCAAGAAACTTCCCACACGATCCCACAGACATCACTGCGCGGCAGTTTGTTCATCGCCCCAACAAAGGCAGCCCCAATGCTCGAATGCCTGCCAAATTTCAACTTGAATGGACCCGTGGATCTGAGAACAAAGTCCTATTCCGCAACTCTCCATTCTTCTGAAACTTTTCTTCCGCAACTATTTGGTACTCTTCCGCAACTACTCTTCAGAAACTATTTGGGATCTTCAGGAACTATTTTGCGATCTTCAGAAACTATTTCGCGATCTTCAGAAACTATTCCGCGATCTTCAGAGACTATTTCGCTATCTTCAGGAAAAGCTAACTTTAGAAAGTATTCCTCAGAACTTTTACAATGTCGCAACCAATTTGCATGAAGGAGCACTGGGTGGGTAGGGGGTAGGTGGGTGGGATATTGACGTACCTTGTGACGTCTACGGTATATACACATGCTTGTTTTGCGATCTGCAGAAAGATTTCCGCGCAGGTTTGATGTTGCTCGTCGACTGTTTGTAGTTTCCGAACATTAATTTCTGAAGAACACCGTAGAGCTTCCGAAGATTGGTTTCCGAAGAATAGTTTCCGAAGAAAACCTGAACCTTAAAGTTACCGAAGATTAGTTTCCATTTATCAGTTTCCGAAGAACACCATAAAGTTTCCGAAGAAAACCGCATAGTTTCCGAAGATTAGTTTCCAAAGAAATTGTAAAGTTTCCGATGATTAGTTTCCGAAGAAAACCGTAAAGTTTCCGAAGATCACCTTTTAGTTTCCGAATAAAACTTGGACCGTGGATCTGAATACAAACGTGAAACCTAAGTATCATCAGGGCAGTAAGTCTTAGCAACAAACAATTCATGGCCTCACAGTATCAGAATCTTTGAGCTCTGCTGGGCGAAACGAATTGCACTTGCCGCTCGGCGCTGGTGAAAGTGTGTATCGGTAAGGGACTGGGACAGGATCACCTCCATCCGCGGCCTCTAGGGCTTAAAACAAGGCACGGAACAGCATCAGAGCCACTCATAGCTTTTCGACTTTAGGATTTCCCGACAAGGCACTGGAGGGTGTTGTTTCTGGGTAATGGTGTGGTCCAGCAAATCGAACGCAGCGACTCCGTGCGTGGTGCAAATGAAATGCACAAAGTCAGCTAGGCTCATGAGGTTCTTGTTGTGCATCACAAGCTGCAAGTCTGAACTCAAGCGCCACGGCATCAAGGTCAGCTCTGCGTTTGGGTCGCCTTCCACGAAGGATTTCTTGGCGCGAGCAACCCTTTTGAAACCATGTTTTCACGGTTATAAACCCTTGTATATGTTTGGAAACGCGACATGGGGAGCACTCAAAATTTTGTAAGATTGTCACGGGCCGTTCCGGGCCTGTGATCAGCTTGTCCTCGAAAACACCACGGTTGAAACCAAAGACCTCCCCTTCGACGATGAGTTCCTCTGCAGTTGAATTCCCTAGATATACTTCATGCGACTTCGTGATAAACACTGCAGGCTTGCCCTTCACGCCGTCACAGGAAGCCAGCCTACAGAATGCAAAGCACAAAAATGAAAAGATACACCAAATTAACACCCCACTCAGAAAGAATAAAGATGTATAAAAATGGACCCTAGCGCTGCCCAAGAAACTTGGGAAAGGTGAATGAATCAGCAGGCAAAGCATCCAGCCGCACCTGTCTGCAAATGTCCACCGGCTTTTTCCCCCCTTCGATGGAGAAATCCGGCCGCCCAGCTGCGCGCACCGTGGTAGACGTGGTGCCACCTGCTGCTGAGCCCTCGCCAGCAAAGTTCTGTGGGAAAGTTGCCTGGACTTTCTCCTTCAAAGCGAGCATAGCAGCATGATGCGTGGTCCCTGTGGCAAACTTGTTCAGCAAAGAAGAAGGAAAACCACAACTCTGGCCACTCCACGTCAAAAGGTTCAAAATCGGATCGGGCTTCGCTTCCTGCGGCCTTTGCTTCGGAGGGCTATCAGCCAGCCCATCCCAATGAGAATAGACCATGTTCTCAACATCTGCGACGGTTTCCTTGTGGTCCCTGAGAACCCCGAAGTACACCAATCGAGGCGCCGCTGAAGATTCGTGCAGTACTTTCTGGGTGATAGCACGGCATAGCTCTGCATGCCTTAGAAGAACTAACCAGAAGCAATGCTGCAAACACAGGACATGGTTTCTGGGGTCGGCAAAAGACTTCCCGACTCGATAAAGGTGAGCCACTTGTTCGGAAGCACATCGAACACAAGGACCAGATCCTCCTGGCGGAAATCCATCCCCATGAACATCTCCTTCAACACCTGCTTGAAGGCGGGAACGCCTTTCCTCAGAAGTAACCAACTGGCAGGAAATTGCAACACGCTTCACAAAGACCACATGAGACTAACTACCGACCGGAGGCAAACTTGCTGCGAAATTAAATCTTTGGGCGGTTGAAGAGATTTAACTAGCGACAAAAAACTTTACTCACTGAGCACTCGGCTAAGTCGCTGCTCCACTCGCGCAGCAGCACCCGGGCGATTGTCACTGTCGTACCCGGCCATGTCAGCGATTTTGATGAGGGGAATCGGCCCCAATGTTCCCGATTTGAAGACTTTGCAAGCGGTCCATGGGTTGTCATCTTGATTTGATGCCGTAGTGACAAGCATCGCCGTTTGATAAGCCTTTCTCTTATCGTTGGCCATGCTGGATTGTTTGTCATAGCTGACGGTGATCTGCTGGGTCACGTCCAGGCCCGACTTCATGAAGAAATCCGTCATAGCTCTTGTGTGTTTCACAAGGGCTGCAGGAGTTGTTTGAGCGTGAAGAACTGGAAGGAGGACCAGCCCCATCGACAAGGTTGTCATAGAAACAGATTGGGAAAACACTTCAAGGCACTTGGACATGAACAAGGCATTGCTGGGCCACACGGTTGCGTCGAAGGTCACCAAAGTAAACCTCAATACATGCATGAGGCAGAAGTTGTCCCGGTTCGACAACTCCAGGCAGTTTGATCAAAGAAACAATCAAAGAAACAATTAAAACGCAACAGTGAATGAATGGCTTCCAACAAGGAGCGTCCGACCACCAGAGCGTACAACTGCCCCGCACCGATTGGTAAACCGCGCAAACTCGGCCACACAGTTCGGGAGTGTATCCTCAGACACCTTGAACATTTTGCAATTCGCCTCCAGCCAATCCTTCGTGTACGCCTGCCCTTTCCTGATATGACATGATGTATGCCCAAAACACAAACCAAAACATTGCACATCCGGTCGGCTATCAAACTTTCTATTTATATATATATAAATATAAATATGGCTGGAAATAAATCGCTTCCTGTTTGTATTTCCGGACTCTGCTAGCACAAAGTGAAGTAGATGAGAACTAATTGCACTATGAGCTTCAATTGGCGCTCTTTGAGATAGCGTTGATCTTTAGCTGCCTCGACTGCTTCGACTTCTTTGGTGGGGATCCGCTGCTTAAGAGCATCGATGTCCGTGTTCACTTTCAATGTGATCTGTTCCACAGTCGCATTGTGGAGCTTCTCTGAGAGTTCCTTTTCCTGCTGCTCAAGGTCGTTCTGCACACGCTGGTCAACTGCGGCCACAATAACCCTAGTGAAGGACAAGTCGCTCAGGCTTGGAGGTGGCACAGCTGTGGACAGCATGTTCTCAAGCTCAGGATCTAGGTAACCCGTTCTGAATTGCCCGTAGAGCTTGTCCTCTGCATCCTTGAAGTCAGCCGCCGGCACCTTCCGCTGGAGCTCTTTGACAACAGCCAAGAACCCGCCACATAGAGCATGAATGGCCGAAGCATCACGGAAAGACCATTGTTTACGCATTTGCGGCATCAACTTGTCCCAATCATCTCGCAGCCGGCCAAGGACAAGCTTGACCTTAAACTCCAAAAATATCGGGTCGTCGGGGGTTCCATTCTGGGATCCGAAAAGAACACCAAATTTTACCAAGATCAGAACCTGTAAGATTAAGCAAAGCCAGAATTCCAACGCATCATCAGTGGAATTCGTCAAAGCATCTCGCCAGCTTTCATACGTGCCTGTACCTGAAGACCATCCCTGGTTGAACATGTCTTTCCCAATGACATCGTGCCCCATCCAAGCACGCATCCCGCGAAGTCGCACACTCTCACGCAATTCCGCGAGGAACGACGGAGATACACGGTGCTGCAAATTTGAGACGGCTTTCGCTTCCTTCTCTCCAATCTGGAATGCTCTCTGGATTTTGGTCGCGTCGTCCCAATCCTCAGCAACATGTCCCTACAAAATGAAACCGGGTCTCTCTTCGCTACTGCCCCCAAAATATTGAAAGCGAAAGATCAGTTGAGGCCAAGAACATCAACAAAAGAACAGTTGGGCTACCAAATGTTTTAATAGGTGCCCCGCGACAGTGAAGGAAGCAGCAGCATCACCATGCGCACGGCCAAGGACTTCGAGCTGTCGCAGAAAGTTAAAGCAATTTGGTGCTTTTCTTGTGGAAGTGGAACCCATAGTGATGCCTGCTTTGGGCTGGAAGGGCTTTTGTTAAAACACTTACGTCAAAGGGCCACGCTTGGTGAATCATAATGCTGCGAACACCTTGCCTCGATTGGCCCACACAATGTCCCGCACATTGGCAAAATCTGCAACGGTGCCATGCACCGCTCTGATCGAAGACTGCAGTCAGCCAGGCTTCAAAAAAGGATCACATTGTATAGACTGGTGTAAAATTAACTACCGGCCTTGAAGGCGCCATCCAAATCGTCCAGCGAGATCTCCAACTCCTTGATGCCTGCCAGCCCGATCAAGCAGCAAACGCTGCGTCTCCATCCTTTCACGTATCCAATGCTGAAGGGCGAGATGGCATCAGGACCTAAGCTTTGTCTTTGGCCATGCAAAGTCTGGCAGATTCCAAGCTACACACGCCCCTCGCACCAAAAGCCGCAAGGAGATGGCCTGGGAAACGGAGGTCAAAACACAAACATTAACATTCGACCAAGAATGCTCATGGCATGAAGGAACGTAGTGGGGGGTTGCATGGCGGAAGGGGGCATTTAATTTGAGTCTGCACTTTTTTACGCGACCATCCACCAATTGCCAATGTCACAAAGACCTGTAGTCACAAAAGACTGCTAGGTCACCAAGACTGCTACGTAGACTTTAGAATCAAAACCTGTAGTCGCTGGCTGTCAATTGTAAATGCATGTTTTCTTCCTTGGCAGGCTCAGAGGTTTCTTCTCATCGCCCTGGGCCCCATCACAACGAGCGTGAGCATCTTGATTGGGAACAGCTGCAACCACACCAGACTCACAATTGTTGCCCTTTGTGTCTTCCTTGTGGAGCTTTGGTGTGTTTTCCTTCGCAGCCACATCTCGTGACTCTGTGACCTGTGAGCCCTCCAAAACAGGTGACTCATCTTCTGCTCCACCGCCCAAAATCAGTGTTGAGTCTGAGTCACAATCGGGTGGCAGTTGACTGTCAATTTCCTCTTCCGCCTCAGCCTTCCGCTTGGCCATGATGAGTTACTGTAGAACGGGTCTACAACTGTGGGTTTCAGCGTGAAAAGGGCCCCGATATTGCGCAAAAATTGGCTGCAGAATCAATGATCAGCCCACATCCAAATCCCCAACACCAAACCCTGCCTGGCTCCCAACCCTGACCACTACTGCACGACTGGACTCTGGGCGGCGGGCGTTGGCATGAGGCTGGCACAGAGATAATGGCCTCATGAACGGAAAACACACACACACCATCTTTTGGTTTGGTCGACCGATTGAAGATGGTTGGATAACAAAGATTCCATTGTGCACTTGAGGGTCTGGCGTGAAGATGTAGCACGTCCACCAAAATGATCGGTGTGATGCTCCATGATCCGCTCTCTGTAATTGGCTTAACGGCTTTCAAACTAAAGCCATTTCATTGATAACTATTGAGTGTAGACTAACAACTCAGGACAGAACTGTCTGGGTCCAATGGAGGGAGGTCGGACGCGGGGGCCTCGAGGAAGGCTGAATCTGGCTTCATCATGGCAATCTTCTCAAATCCTGGAATATTGCTGTCGGTCCGGAACCTGAGAAATTCGATTGAAGAATTGAGTTCACTATTTCCAATTTGACACCGTAAAAAAACACAAACCTCAGTGCAACACAAGCACCCCTCCGTGAGGATTAACTGCAATAGCACCTCTCCATCATCCGGTTCCATGTACCCAGGCAAGCCGTAATCTGTCCTGAAAGACAATTGCCAAGCGCGAACAATTTTTGCCCCTGGCTCCAAGCTTGTAGAGTACACCTGTGAACTGCTCGGTGGGAAATGATGATCTATCCACCGGGCAAAACCCAGAAGATCATCCTGGCATCACAGGTAAAATTGCGCCAACTACCACCACAAAATACATCACTGCAGCAATTCAAAGCAATGTGAGGAGCGGCCTTCTTCTGATACCGCTTCATCAGGAACTTGTCTGCGCCTCCTTCTGGCACCACGACATGTCTATACCTCACAGCCAGAAAGTCATTGGTGGTTCAAGTGACGTTAACCCTGACTTGGTCGCGCCAGTCAGTGATCTTCGCCACATACTCTGGAATGGCGGGCGGCCGCTTCAAGGCTTTGGTTGCAGCAGCCGCGCCCCCGGCCGATTTTCTTTTTGCGGGCATTACGAAAGCCTTCCGCTCAGATTTGAACCCCTGATAATCACAACAAAAAGCTAGAGGCGTCTTCACGGCAATCAACGTTGGACATGAAGCTGGCGTTGACTTGAACACCAAAGATTGAGCACACTCATTTTGACGGCAGCCAGACTAGCCTTCAAAAGCTTCCTGTTTAATTGCACACAGTCACACAGAGATTGCGTCTCTACAATCCACCCTGAAAGGATTGTTTGAACTCTAGCGGCTAAACTGCTGACGTTTCCGGCCTGATCAAAATGAGACTCACGGGTCGCAAGAAGCACTTGGGAGAGAGCCTGCGATACTATTGAACAACAAGTCTGCGTCACCGCTCAGACGTGGAATGACATCGGCGAAAGAACCTCCAGATTGCGCTGGATGTGCGCCGGGGCTCAACACATGCTTCATACAAAGAAAACTATATATACACAGAAAATAATATATGGGGAAAATATGTATACTCATCTATTTATGGAAAAAAGAAGGCGGACAGTAGAAGTTTGTGTTTGCCAGGAAACTGCCCATGGGTTCCACCCCATCAGTCAACACGTCAAACTTAGCCGGGGGGATATAGATAGCAGGGCATCCGATGTTCTTGGCTATAGCAGCGGCGGGCATAGGGGCATCAAGCATGCCCATCTCGCTGCAAGGAATGAGGGCGATAAGCTCGTTTTCCACGTACCAAGTCTGGGCACAAAATTCTGCACATCCAATATCAGCGCTCGACATTGCACTCGGGATTTTGTCTGGCCAGACTGCCGTGTTCCGAAAGAGGAACCTAGGCCGCAACGGCAAGTCACGCGGGTTGCGCAATGCAAAGAAAGGGCTTCACCAAAAAAACATCATCAACAAACTTGTTCATTTCCAAAGACCAGAAACACAAGCTTCTCTTTCTCAGACGTTGGTTGACCATCGTAGTTTCTCTTCAGCACTTTACGACCACAAAGAAATGCTATAGGCCCTGCGTAAAGAAGTTGACTCTCCCCAGTCGGAGTCTGAGAAGTCAGCGCTTGCTCACCTGCAAACAGTTGAGAATGATAAATGCACCACGGGCGCGTGGATAATGCGTGCACACAGTATCGGTCGTACGCACGTCGGTATAAATCACGTCACGTCATGTCACGTCATGTATGTATACATGTATATCATATCAATATACGCTTCTTGTTTCGAGCCTGCCAGCATATCATAGTATCGGATCGTCACGGTGTTCTTCTCCCCCAAGTAACCCTTGCGCACAAGCTCCTGGCCCAGTTTCCCAAAAATGAACCCTTCAAACGCACCAAAAAACGGCAACAACCGCCACTGGCCTCAAACGCTGAAGAATCTTCAATGCAAAATCGGTTCGTGTCGTTCTCTTGCGAGCCAGCATTACGCCCTCAGAAAGGAACATCAAGAGAAATTCTGGTTGATCTTTCTGCCAACAGCAAGGACCCATTAAATTTCTCAACCCAGCCTTGCCCTTCAGATGTTTTAGGCATTTGACTGCGACGTTCCGAACGCTTGGAGGAGCGTTTGCTGTCGCGGCCCTTTGGCATGACGGATCAACTCACACACAGGCTGCTAGCCCAAAGCAAAAGCCAAAATGCCTGGGGCCTAGCCAACAACAGGCCAGGAGGACATCAAGCTTTTGAACTGCCACATTCGTCAGCCGACAAAAAAATATATGTTTTGACTGAACCCCATTCAGCCAGAAAGGAGGCAATGGCCCTAAGCTAGGTTGTTTTCAAGAGTCGAGGAGGCCACAATGCATGATGAGACCAAACTCGAAAGCACACTAATTTTCCAACCTCGGAACATGGTATACTATGGTTCATATTTACAGCGCAGCTGCTGACTGGAACTGGACCCGTTCAATCGTTGCTCCAACACTACTTGGCGCAGTGCTTCTGAACGCTCACAAATTCAAACATTTCTTCCACGGGCGGAATCCGACACTTCCCACCTGCAGGACCCGTTCAACACGCCACCAACCAGTGGATCGAGAAACGCAACAATCCGAAACGTGTATCGAGCCTGAACCTACCCCAAAAAAAAACTTGAGATGTTTCCCCAGCGGGAACGTTGACAAAAGCCACTTATTATCAGCCAGACCATTGCCATGTCACCTGCCAACCAATAACCAAAAACAACTTCAGTTAGTATCCCAAAAACGACTCAAACTCCAACACTGTTTTCACCAACCACCAAAATACGATGCTTGGATTAGATCAAAACAAAATCCGACACTTTCGCGAAACAAAAATCCGACACTGTGACCAAACCCGGATCCGACACTTTGCCAAATCCAAATCCGACACTTTGGAGGGCACGCGCCAACCCCCCCCCCAAAGTGTCGGATCCGAGGTCGGATTGGACACTTTGCCGGTGCTTGATTTCAAACCATTGCCGCGTGCCCCAAAACACAGTCAATGAAACCGTGCCAAGGCATGGGGCAAAGTGTCGGATCCGAGGTCGGATCCGACACTTTGAGCTACTTTTCACAAACTTGCAAGAAGTGTCGGATGCCCAGCGCTGACTCCAAAGCCTGTCACGCAAACTACGCTGCCGCTCCCAAATTTCTAGACCGGTCAAACGTTTAGGGTTTAGGGTTACGACGAAAAAGAGGAACCATTCAAGATTGAACGCGTGGCTTGATCATTTAGCAGACCTGGCCTGGTGTACCTGCTGCGCCTGGTGATGGGAGAACCCATGCCCAACCGGGAACGCCAGCCCCCCTGGCCACAAGTATACCAGAATCAATCAAAACACGGAACTTCCATTAGATTGCTGCTTGGGTGAACATCAGCTTGACTAGCTACCTCCCCGTGCGAATAGCGCGCAGCGTTAAAATTGCCTCCATGCATTAATTAAGCGTTGCTGTGCTCAGGCTTGAAATCCGCAGCAAGGCAACCTGCCCAGCCAAAAAAAAACGTGGCTTCATGATTGATATTTAATTGGTGACAAGGGTGCGCAGGTTCTGAAACTCCTTGCAAACTGGAGACAAATAATAAGAGCCTGAACGTGAAACTGACAAAAGGGAGGGGCGTTGTAATGATCTTGTTTCATTGCACGGCGCTCTCAAATGAATGTTTGTCACTCCATGCCAAAGTCATCAACAAATCTAGCAGAGCTGCTTGTTGAGTTCTCTCCAATCTAGGTCGTTTTTTCCAGTGGCTCAAAGCGTGGAATCACACTCGCTGCGTGCGACCTCATCTCCTCCTAGGTCCCCGCTTTGGAAGCGCCTTTGGCTTGGGGGAAGCCTTTGCCAGTGTCCTCGTGGCGATATCCAAGGCTTCACCCCAAGGCACTCCGTGAGCCCATGCTGTTGCAGCTGCTTTCAAAGTGATCGACTCTCTCGCCCTGGCAACGTAGGCTTGGGCGTCCTTGCGGGTGTCCTTTCCACGGGTCAGCCTGAGAGGCCGATCAGAAGTCGCCCAATGAACAATAAACTAAACCCGGGCAAGAAGGTGGCCAGGGCCAGGTCTGCAAAATTGACACTTGGGTTCACTGACTTATGATCGTGGGGCTGCCTGATCCGATGATCCAATGATCCGATGATCCGATGATTCCGATGGTCCAATGATCCGATGATCCGATGGTCCGATGATCCGATGATCCGATGATCTGATGGTCCGTTGATCCGATGATCCGATGGTTCGATGATCCGATGATCCGATGATCCGATGGTCCGATGGTTCGGTGATCCGATGATCCGATGATCCGATGGTCCGATGATCCGATGTGATCCGAAGGTTCGATGATCCGATGATCCGATGGTCCGATGGTTCGATGATCCGATGATCCGATGGTCCGATGGTTCGGTGATCCGATGATCCGATGATCCGATGGTCCGATGATCCGATGATCCGATGATCCGATGGTCCGATGATCCGATGATCCGATGGTCCGATGGTCCGATGGTTCGGTGATCCGATGATTCCGATGGTCCGATGATCCGATGGTCCGATGGTCCGATGATCCGATGGTCCGATGGTCCGATGGTTCGGTGATCCGATGATCCGATGGTCCGATAACAATCCGATAAGCCAAACCTGGTTGACGCTACAAAAAAACGAAAAGTTATTGCAAAAACAAAGCCTGGCAGCTTCAACTTGTTGGGGACAGGTTCAAATGAGCATGGCAGCAACGGCGAAGATTCAATTGCATGCCCCCGCAGGACTGAGCACCTCACATGGTCCAGTGGTTAACAATTGAGCTCAGTCCTGCTTGGAAAACATCCATCAAACATCTATTCCTCAAGTCACATCGTATTACGAATTGACTTTAGCGTGGAACCTTGATAAGCTTCTTGCGAGGCTCTACAAACACTTGCGCGTGCTCACATATGTTCCAATTGTTTCTTCTTTCAAGGACCCCGACTTCTTTTCAAACTTGGAAGTAAGGGGAACAAAGTCAAGAGACCGCAAAATATAAGGTTCCGTGAGGTCACCGTTTTTAAAAATAGAATGGCTTTGGGTCCGCGCGCGCGCGCGCGCGCCTCCGACGGCCGTTTTTAGAGCCCAAAAAGGCGCGCGCGCGCGCGGACCCAAGATCTTAATAGCGCAAAACAGTGTGACAGTCTCTCGGCCTCTTCTGGAGTTGTGGAAAAAAGAGGAAAAATCAAAAGGACTTCCCCTTCCCCTCGCTGACGGGCCCAGGGTCCACTAAGCCGCGAGTTTATTCACAAGGTCAAGCCACGCGGAAACATCAAGGAGCGGCTGCAAGACAAGCTGATCCAGCACCCAAGATTTCAAATGCTCCGCTGCTCTGTAAAGCTTGTACTGCTCCAAGGAAGGGATGAACTTGAGAATGTGATCCTTGTAGTCCGCTGGGATGGGATTGCGAGGCGCAATGGCATTTGGCAAACCCAGAGGCACCCTCACTTGCGCAACAGCCCGAGGCAAATGGACATGACAAGTCTCCCACTTTGGGGACGCCATATATTGCTTTGTCTGCACAATCACATCACCAGGCTGAGGCTGCAAGCTCCAGAACTCATCTTGTGGGCTGAAATCGGATCCTCGATTGAGAGAGCAGGGGCGGTTGCATTTTGTTGAAGCACTTTGTCCGAAATCTGGGCGGCCCCAACCCATGAATCTTGGTTAATAAGCTGGCAGCTTCGCGCGTTGAGAATTGAAATTTATTTGACTTTCCTTGGCAACGGGGGCCGCGATGCAACACACCGGTGTTCATCTAGACCCCTCACCAGGGGTTCAGATGAACACCGATTTCGGGATCTCTTGCATCACGGCACGTTCTCTGGCCGGCCAAGCAACGACAAAATGTGACGTGTGCGATTATCTCGAAACCAAGCAGCCCAAAGACTCGCGGCGGTCGAACTGGAAAACGTGTGGGGCACCTGGCCCTGCAATGCCACTCAGAGCGACCGGCACTGCTTCGCTAAGAAAGCCCTTCCTGCAGAGTGTCCGGCCCGAAAACAGGCCCAAACGAAAAGCAAACAAAGAAAACGAACTACAATGCGCAACAAATAAACAAATTGCAGCACTTCCATCCAAAACTCCAATCACGCGATTGGTCCATCAGGACAACATGTCGACCCGGTTCGTAAGGTCGTTCCAAGCTAGTCTCCATCCACGTCCGGATGTGGGCCGCAAAGTCATCCGGCGTGACAGCGTGTTTGGCCTTCCGAACTAAATACCTGCATAAAACTCCGAAGATTTGGTCCAAATCCTCATGGCTGTGCCCGGTGCGCAGGCACCGGAGAGCACAATTGGCGATGACTCCTTGCGCTTGGCAAAAAGTTGATTTTCACATACAATCCACCGCAACACAAACAAAACAAGCAAAATAGAACGCGGTGAAACTTTACGCAATCAATACAAGAGCACGGTTGCTGACCATTGAGCTCATCCACTTCAACAACGTGTTATTCTTCATTTCACGTGTGGTGTTGTCGGCTTGTACCGACAAAGAAATTCCTGAAATATCACCGACTTCTCGTTGCGCCAGAGTTAAAGCGTGCGAAATCAGTTCCGTCATCGTGGATGAATTTTTGGGGAAATTGTGCTTCGAGACCCCGAACAGAAGAAACCTCCCGTGGACCAGGATGGCCGTGATGTGGGCCCTCGGTCGGATCAAAGACGCCAACTCTTTCGATTGGTAGACCATGCCCCTGGGGTAGCAAAATTTTGCTTGATCACAGCTGTCAATCATCATCACCACGAGGGAGGTCCTTAAACGCGCCGATGATCTGAGGGTCCAGTATTCGACCCGATCCATATATTGGCTCTGCAAATGCTTGGAGTACAACTCGCGTTGCTTGGTACGCGCACGAGCGTGCCCGCTCATCTCTTGTATCCACATCTTGTGTTTGAGGCATATAGCGCAAACCGCGTGTGATGAAGCTGCTCTAAACTTTAAGTGTGTGAACTCCGATTTCCACGTCCTCCAAAAGCTGCTGAAGCTTACTGGAGGGAGATCTGGTTCGGCTGCTTTCATCAGCTCATAATAATCCATCATAGTGCCAGGTGGCAGAAATCGCTCTTCAAATTGGGAACGATCCGTGTTCACCTGGACTGATTTGTTCTTCAATCTCTGATGCTGTTTTCTGCCTTCCTTCTTGGAAGGAAGCTCTGTAGCTGGATTGGCTGCATTCAATGCGTCAACGTACGGATCTGCAACCACCTGAACATCTATCACCTTCATGTCCACGTCCACAATGTTGTCACGGACATCTGGAAGGGTCTCTGCCTGCCCATGGTAAACACTTTCCAAGAATGATACAATTCTTCCTCGAGCACAATCGCCATGGCGATCTTGCACGGGCTGACCCTTCTTCAAGTAACGTAGATCTACTGGTGGTACAATGCTACCATTTTCTGCAGCAGCTCGCAACTTGTCAAATCGAGCGTTCCCTGCCGTTGGGATTGAACCAGCCACTCAACAGGCCTACTAGTTGACACGAAAATGTATGGCTTGCAGAATCATTTTCAACTGCCACATCACCCCACGCATGGATTTCGTTTAGACCAACCCTGTCAAGACCCCCTCCCATTGGAAAACCAATTGCTCCGGCGCACCTACTCCGTGTAGTCGCTTCCAGGAGCGCAGGCAGACTTGAGTGCCCAGAATGATCCAGCTAGCGCATTCATCTCCTGCTCGTCCCAGCAATGTCTGGCGGATCCGGTCAAATACCTTGCAAAGCGATTGTTTCGTGGGGTGCTAAACACCGATTTCCAAGTCTCTTGTCGAAATCTATCGTGGGATTTCAGAGGGCGCCCTAAAGCAAATGCTCTCAAGGTTGGGGCTTGGTTTCCCCCAAAAAGTGCTTCTCCCAACAAAATCCTGAAGTTGTCGAACCCAAGGTACAGCCTGATCTTGGTCTAGCTTGTGCAAAGCCAGCCAGTCCCGCTTGAACTCAACTAAAGTTTCAAACTTCGCCGGTTCGCTAAATTTTTGCATGCAGTTGTGCCTGCATGACACGCATCGCTTCCCTAACAGCACTTTGAGCTGTGACTCCATGGTTTCCCGGGGAGGAGGGCCGTCAGTCTGCCGCTTTCGCTTCTTGCGCCACAAAGAAGGCAGCAGTTGGGCATCTTGGCCCTCACTTGGACATTCCTCGTCACTCAAGTCGATGACAGGCGGGATTGGCATCAAGAACAAGCAATGGAATTCATTCCAACACGTACATCCATTGCTGGAGCAATGAATCTGGCGGCACAGCAAATCTACAAAGATTGAAGAGAAATATTGAACAAAAGAAGAACAAGAAGGTAAGATTACCAGGTAAGATCACGTTCCAACTTTTCAATATAGTCCATAAACATGAACTATTGTTTGTTTGACAGCTTGAACCCAATAAGAACAATGGCTGCGCTCTGCAAGCTCAACAGAACCACAACTTCTTCCGACTCACTCTCACTCTCCCTCTCTCTCTCTCTGTGTCTGTCTCTCGTTCATATAAGGTGACTTTGCGAACTTACTTCTCTCCTCTTTGAAATTTCACGCATAAAAAGCTTGCTCGACGCTCGATCTGCGGAAGCCCCCGTTTCATGAAAAAATCGGATTGAATCACGCCTCCTCCAGAATTCAAAATCCGCCCACATCGCAAGCTCGGAACGCCGCTGTCCTGGTGTAGTTTTGCCCGGGGTTTGGTAGGCATAGTGGGAGCAAAACCTTACAAAGTTAGTTTCAAGACTTGTTGGGCGTAGAACGAATTGGGTAAAACTGAAGGTTGGCCGTCGATGAAGAAAGCCTGGCGCTCCTCGCAAAGCAGCAAGCAACGCCACTCATACTTCGACAACTTCGACGCCGTAGGCCTCAGCCCAGGGTTAACCCGGCGCTTTATATATATATATAGATGTTTTTTAATTTACTTGGGCACACATCGTTGAACGAAACCAGAAACCTGACTATATCATCTCTGAACCGGCTTAGTCGACCACGCGCTGTCTTGATTTAAAAGAAATCAACTTGGCGCCCCGGCCCCCCCAAAATCTGTTGGAGGAGAAGGCTGAGTGGTGTGGAACTGGATAACAACGTCTACCCTCAAGCCAGCACGCACAACAACGCTTTGCCCCGGCCACAGTTTCTTCCCAAGGATAGAGACTTCGACGTCACATTGATGACGGCTGTAAGCTTGAACAGCATTGTGAAGCTCTACAAGTGTCTCCATGGTCACAGTAAATGGGACCCTCGCAGCTGCAAAGTCGAAGTTCACACTTAATTCAGGCCCGCTGTGACGCCTAAAGACACTTTTGGTGACCACCATTATTGGGCAAGTAGGTAGTTCTGGCCTGCCATCCACCAAAAGATACACCTCTCCACCAGCACGCTGGTCAGAGGAAGGCTGGGGAGACACGAAATGTATGTCGGTCAACTGGCTTTCTGACAGAAGCCATGGTGACAGAACCAGACGGGTTCTGCGGACAACTTCCTCAAGCTTTGAGATGTCCTCCAACTCAACATTGAGAAGTGCTCGGCCACGACTGAACTCATCTATGTAGAAGACCATGGTTGCAGGAACGTCTCCAGTCTCCCAAAACCCTACCCCCAAACACTCGACAAACTCATTGAATGACTCAAATCTGGTCGCCGTCGTTTGTGTAGCGTTGGGGTGCCACGGAGAGGCGTCGGCAGCAAAACTCATGTTGTTCACCACTTCGTTAACGAGCGACATGGTCAAACAAAGGAAAACCGGGCCCTAAACGAAGTAGTAAAAAATTATCTGAACTTGGTCACTGAAGTCAAACAGGCTTCTTTTGCTGCTGTAGACACTAGCCTTTTTTTTCGAATATATAGTCCAAACCAAAACAGCTCCAGCGGTTCTTGATCCACGTTCGCCGCCAATGGTGGAAACTACAACGCGGTGGCAAAAAAGGCCGTGACCCCTCAGCAACCATTTTTGACAGCCTCGGATCTCTAACACGAAGGGCGATCCCTGGTAGTACTGTCAAAGGGGGGTCACTCCGAATTTAGCAACCAGTTGAACCAATGAACTTTTGTCAAGTTGACAACCTTGGAAGAACAATACTCCTCTTGGAAGTACGTCAATCATCGAATCAAAAGGTTACTATAGGTTATGGTTGCTTGAACTGACCAAAGCAATCCTGAATTAGGAGCCACTCAGTGTTATCACACTGACTCCAAAAGCATCCACACATGATGTGGGCAGACAACACAGGCTTTGAGCAAAAACAGGAAATGGAACACCTTCGCAATAGGAGCAACAAACAAACGTTCCAAATCAAATTATATATGGTCATGGTGCTCAAGCAGCCTCCATCATTCTGACCAACTCGGACAGAGCACGCGCGCCCATTGCGGGGACGACGCAATTGCCCAAGGTGTGAAGCCGTTTCTTGTCCATGTCTGTTTGCTCCATTGACAGCCATGAACTGAAGTTCACCTTGTTTTGGTGGTTCCACCCGGCCTGCGGCAAGTCCAGGGACATCTTGACATTGTCAGAGAAGACCTCCTGCCGGCGGACATCAACCAACACTGACAAGGTACTCTAATGTTTGCACAACACTAAGCTGAAGCTACACCACCTTGTTGCTGACAACCAGACAACACAGTTCCTTGACCCCTTTGCGCATCGCCAGCAGGAAGACGCGGCATCTTCCGGCCTAGCAAACCAAGACATAAATACATATAGCAATGTTTTGCACACGTCCTTTGAATATCATCACGGTCCAGAAATCAACGACCAAGGCCAAGGCTTGGAAGCCACAGTTGCTCAGACTGAGGGTCACCCAGTACACCTGCATCTCTCGTTTGCGAAGTTCCTGCAGGGTGCTAGAACGCTGTCGAAATAGAAACTGACAAACTTCACAGAAGCCTGAAAATATGAATCCAATTCAGTGATTTTGGCATGTGAGAGCCTTTCAGGTCCTGTCAGATTGAAAACCACACACGTCAAAACCATGGCCTGCACAATGAAGTGCATCAAGCGTCGACAGTTCTCCTCTGTGCTCAACAGGGCTGAGACGTTCTCCAGGAGCATCAAACGCCTGCTGCAGCAATCAACAATCAAAATTACAAACTGGTCTGAAAGGCTGCGACCCTTTAGGCATGGAGTCGAAGATCCTGAAGAGCTCCGCAACGAGGAACGAGCGTGGATCGTGGAGGCCCTGTTGATGGCCCGCCACCGACACGCCCTGAGGAAGCAACGGGTGAAAGTTACACAAACACGGCGCGATCACCGCTGAGAAGGAGGCTTGGCAAGGGAAGCCTCCAAGGAGAGCAGCAGCCCCCAGGGCTGCCTGAGAAGTTGGCTTGTAGTCACGCACGTCTTCCAAAATCTCACATCTTGGGAGGCTCCCTTCGGCTTGTCTCGCTTTGAGAACGGCCCTGCAAAACTCGTTGCGCTCGACCTGAAGAAAAAGACCCGCGTTCAAGCCCACTGAATTTAAAGGTGACCTGTGACCCCGGCCATCTCCACCGTCCTAAACGCCCTGCAACAGAAATCAATTGCTGATTGAAGTCGATTGAATCCGTTCAAGCTTGATCATGAATCCTCGAGTGACCAACCCAATGAGAAGAATCGTGGAATGAATAGCATCACTGAAAAAGAAAACAAATGTTGATTTCCTTCTTCTCAGCGGCTCACAGCCACACGCTTTGGTTGGCGCTGGTCGGTGTCTATCCCGAAAGTGTCAGGTGTCATAGCTTTTTTCCCTCGAACCTCATGGCCGGGATCCGAAGAATCTACCTCTAGATTATATCTATTTTTCACCTGTGAATCTCCGAACATCGAAATATACTACATATATATATATATATGTAACAAAATTTATATATATATATATAGATAGATCAATATATGTTTACGGTTTAGGGTATGTATATATGTCTATATTCTTCAAAACAAATAGAGACACACAACGCACAATAAATGATTGGAATAAAGCTCGGACTGTTGGGTCTGAGGCAAAGTCTGTCGGCTGGCTTTCAGCTGTTGACACCGGGAAATCACACTCCGAGCACTCCTCCCACCGAGATTGTTTCCAAACCCACCTCGATCCACAGAAAACATTATTGCAGTCGCAGTAGAAAACTATCGCTCTTCCTTGCGCAGATTGAAATGTCTATTTGTTATGTGAAAACAGCATCCACGGCCAAGCTACAGCGAGTCTTTCCAGCGGCACCACAAAACGGTACCACGCAAGACCCTCAGTGAGGTTCACGTCCAATGTGGATCTTGACCATCTCAATCTACTGCTAAGTTTTCATTTTACACGACATTGTTTGGAGACCGCTCACAACAATATATTCACAAACACAGCGCGGATGGAACCAAGCGGCTTGACTTGGTTTACGCCGACGGTCCGCACCGTAACCACGTCAGAGACAGACGACATGGCATGCGCCCTTTGGTTTTCAACCCTCTTAGCTCACTTACTGTCGTAAGCCT